TACAAACATTTTTATAATATAGATATGTATATTATATTCTAGTTTTTTCACAATTTGCCATGGGATCATGTCCGATCCTGGAGCGGAGTTTTTCTGATTGGATAGTATTTGAAAGTATTGTCCTCCTCGAATTCTATGTTCCTCATTGATTGGGTTGTTTCTAAAATATTGTTTGCACCATGAGTTTACGAGTACATTACTTCAGTTTTCTTGTTCAAAAGATGGGTCTTTCGTTCCGTTATATGTTTTAATGAAGTTCCTTTTGAATGCATCGGCCTTTTCTTCATCTGTGGTATAGTCTATACCTGTGGTTCTTAAACTTTTTTGGTGACAAAACCTTAAAAAGTGAAATATTTGACGGAGGCCTAAACACATTTCGGAAAAAAGTCCTCCTTGCTCTAGCCTCTTGCCAGGTCCCTCCCGTTTCTTTACGGAGCCCCTACAACTAAATTCTCAAAAATCATAGCATCCTTTCTGTGGCCTCTAAAAAAAATCATATTATACGCATTCCTCTTCCTAACTTCTAAAAAAAAGGTCCTCATATACGCCTTCCTCTTCCTAACTTCTAAAAAAAGGTCCTCCAACCCAAAATACCAAAATCATAACCTTCCTGTTCCTGACTTAAAAAAAAAGTTCCATCAAACCAAAATCCCAAAACCATATACTTCTAAAACAAAAAAATCTGATGTGTCCAACACATGACTTTCCTATCTAGTTATTATAGGCATTTTCCGGTTATTTTGTACAACCTATTGCAGCATCTCTATAAATGTTTAGAGGATAAACTAAATATATACATTTTACACATACATCTACCTCGAAACATTTTTTTATAGATATTCATTGAAAACGAAAATACAGAAAAATTTAAATTTAGCACTTTTCCATTACGGTCCATTTTAGAAAAATCATGTATAAACAAAAATTATAGAAATCGATATCGCAAACAACTTTTAGTTCAACAATTTTCATAAAAATCAGAATTTTGCACATTTTGTCAAATTTCTCGAATACGGACCATTTCAGAAAATTTTGACATAAAGCAAAAATTATAGATAAAAATATTAGAAGTAACTTTTATTTGAACAATTTTCTTCTCCAAACATAAATAACAGATATATTCCATAAAATATAAAAACGGCCTCCCATAAAGTACCCCCCCAGATGTTCCGACTTTGTCCAAAATCTAATCATTTCACGTCAGGCCGAAATAAACCTTAAGTTTAAAATTTAATGTTTTTTCCTTTATCCGTTTTTGAGTTTTCTTCAAATTTCGAAATTTACACATTTTCTCAAATATCTCGAATACGGTCCATTTTAGAGAAATTATGTATAGAACAAAAATTATAGAGAATTATATTACAAACAACTTTTATTTGAACAATTTTTAAAAAAAAATATTTTTTTTACATTTTGTCAAATTTCTCGAATACGGACCATTTTAAGAAAATTTTGCATGAAACAAAAATTATAGATAATTATATTAGAAGTAACTTTTATTTGAAGAATTTTCTTCTCCAAACGTAAATAACAGATATATTCCATAAAATATAAAAATGACCACCTATAAAGTACCCCCCAGATGTTCCGACTCTGCCCAAAATCTAATCAGCTCATTGGACGCTGAAACAAAGCTTAAGTTTAAAATTTGGTGTTTTTCTGTGTATCGGTTCATGAGTTATGCGTTATACAGACACACACACAGACACACAGACACACACACACACAGACATCATCGCGAAAATAGTCAAAACGGATTCAGGGGACCTCAAAACGTAAAAATCCGTCGAAAACTCGAGGTCGAAAAAAATCATGATTCCTATACTTTCCTTATATCTGTATACAGATAGGAAAGTAAAAATTAAGGTCGTCAAGTCCTGTTCTAGCGATAGGTACTAAGTTTTTTATTATTTTCTTCGCTGAGTCCCCAAAAGACTTTGCGGAGCCCCAGGGCTTCGCGGACCACACTCTGAGTAACGCTGGTCTATACCATTGTAATATTTGGAATTTTATTCCTTGTTTTATATTTTGACAGTTTATTTATTTTATGATAGAAGTTTCTTCTCAGTTCTCGATTTATTTCTTGGCAGGTCTGTAGCCATGTGTGTTGGTGACATTGTTTTATTAATTTTTGAATGTTAAAGTTGTTGATGTTTGTTTTGACTTCCCGACTAGATTTTTGCCTGTATTCTCTGAGCATTTTACGTTTTGTTTTGATGAGTTTCACGATTTATCTAGGAAGTTCATAAGTAAAATATTTGTTTGCAGTTTTTGGTGTGTTGTTTGTGATAATCGCAGAGACCTTTGTGTGAAGTAATTGACTTCATTGGTAGTAATATTAGTGTTGTTTGAAATTAGTTGGTTTACTTCTTTATTTTTTTTTTTAATGTTTGATTTATTGAAATGATATTTAAGAGGTGGGTCTGCAAAAGGAGAGTTCATTCCTTGCTCGATAGTAAACATTATAGAGTGGTGGTCTGCCCCAATGTCGGGGATTACTTCTATATTCTTGATTGCGTTGCTAAGATTGTCAGTGTACATTAACAAATCTGGGGTGGAGTCCTCATTATTGGGCATCAAAAAAGTAGGGGTAGTATCCGCTTTAATAAAGTTTGTGTTATGCATAACAGTTTGAATCTGTTTTAATTTGCCTGGAGAGCGGTGGTTGAAGTCACCAATTAGCACAACATATTTGAATCTTCCTGCCATTCTGAAGATAGAATCGTCGGTTGAAGCATGTGGGTGGCTGTATATCAAAATAATGTGAAGTTCGTCATCATTGAAAGGGATATTGACGTGTAGAGCATCATTTCTGGGATCGTTTATGCGGGGCGGGTTTTATTTTCGCATTTTTGGCTTTGGATTTATTTGCATAAGTGATCCTCCTCTTATATTTTGGTTTAGAATATTTCCGTCGTGTCTTACTACATCCCAATTTCTATAGTTGGTGTTGGTTTCCGCATTGGTTTTAGTTTCTACAAATAGCGCACAGTCTATTAACTTCCTTTCTATCGTATAGCGTGTATATTATATTAGTGTATAATATTTTAATTTCGTTGTTGAATGTGAGCTACTTGCGATCCTGGTATAGTTTCAGTGGGAGATTCGAAGTTACCTAGTTCCATGTCAAACATCAAGATGTAAATCCAGTTGTTTCCCACAAACGTTACAATGGTATCTATTCTGTATTCCGACATGAATCTTTTTCGTGTAGTCTTTCTATTAACTCCTCTCTGTTAATGTTTTTGGGTTTGTTCAGCTTTTGTACATAATAATTTATTATTATGTCATGAACTGTTATTGGGGAGTGAATTCTGTTAATTTTCATATTGTCCTTAATTTGGTCAGATTTTTTATTTAATGTTTTTACTGGTAAGTTGGAAATTCTTGTTATTGGTTTTGTTGGTCTTTTAGGACATTTAAATGACTAATCTCGATGATCTTCTGAGCCACATCCACTGCATTTTGGGGGAAGCGTGGTTGGACACTTGTTCGTGGAATGCGCTTCAGAACATTTGTTGCATTTTGTTGTTTCTGTGCAGTTTTCTGTTGAGTGGGGAAACTTCAAACACTTATTGCAAGGCATTGGGGCAGTGGGCGGCCGGAGAACTCGTATAGACAGCATAATGGCGGGATTTGTAATGTAATCCTTCAGAGAGAAGTTTTTCGTAAAATTTTAGATTTTTGTGATAATTCTTATGAAGTTTGTTGGAGTGTCTGTCTTTTTTGAGATGATTATTTTTCAGTAGTGGAATTACCCTCCAGATGAGACCATTTTTTGTGAGATTTTTTCGTCCGATATTTCGTTTTCGACAGAGGCAATAACACAAGAGTAGACTTGAGTCGCTGGAATTTTGTTATCTCTTGAAGCTTGGTCTCGCTGCTACTTGTCTCGCACAGAAACCGGTGTTGCTTGTTTGAAGGCAACGTCTTTTCATTTATTTTTGTTTAATTCTATTTATATATTTTTTGTTTATTTTTTTTTATTTACCTATTTTTATTTTTTTTTTAACAATTTTTTATTATCTTTATTTTTTAAATTATATTTCATATTCTTTTTTTTTATTAATTTTTATTTATTTTTTATTTTTTTATTTATATATATTTTTATTTTTTTAATTAAGTACTTGTATTTATATAATGTTTATTCATATTTTTTAACTTTTATTTAGTTTTTTCTATTAATTTATTTTAAATGGTTTTATTTATTTTTATATATTTTTATTTATTTACAATTTTTTAATAATTTTTTATTATCTTTATTTTTAATTAATTTTATTTATATTTAATTTTTTTATTTACTTATTTTAATTAATTTACTTATTTTTATTTTATTTTTTTAAATTATTTTTGTTTATTTAATGCAATTTCAAGCGGGGACTAAACTGTCGTGATGTCGTTTTTATTAGTTCGCTCCTCATATTTTTCATAAGTTAACTTTAAAATTTATTTTACCACATAGTCGTATAATATATTGAAAATTTGTAAATTAAAATTGTTATAATTAAAAAAAAAAACAAACAAAAGATCATTGAATTTTCAGCTCGCTATGATTTTAAGTCATATCTACTCTTAATTTCTAACCACCCTAACTTTGTTAGTTTTAATACTATCAAAAAATGCTTAATTATCATTTTTATGTAGAACTTTGTTTAATAATTTTTATTAAGAACTTTTGTTTATAGCACCTACCCTTTTTTAAATAACCTCAAAAAAAAAAACACTTTATTTTCTTTTTTCGTCATTTGCCTGAGCCTGAAAAACAGAATTTTTTTCACATATCGTTTTCAAATACTCGAAAGTGACTTACATCAAACATTACTGTATTTCCTCCAGAATTTTAATTTAAAGGTCTATTTGATTGAACTACCGCTATCTAATAAAGCTCTACATTCCCATTTTCGTATTATTTATAGCTTCCTTTCTACCAGGTACACCCATATTTAAAATCTTCATATTCTCTATTAACTGACTTGAAATAACATTTAATAATATTTCAGATTATGAAGAGACAACAACTAGAAGAAAAAATTAAAAAAGTGAACCTAGCCAGAATCCAAATTAAAAAACAACTGGAGGAATTGAATTCTATGGACGAACCAGAATTTCAAAATGTAAATTTATTAGAGGACGAACTTAAAGAATGCTTGGAAGTGGTCAAAAAAGAAACAGCAGCTTTGGAAGAAACCAATGGTTCAATTAAAGAAATAAAACAACTTATACAAGAGAAAGAATTCGGCCTTTCCGAATTAAAAAATTCTACCAAAGACATGGAAGAGGAATTTCAACGAATCACCAACGAAATTCGCGAGAATCGCATTAAACAAAAAGAGATATCCACTGGTGAGGAATTGGAAAAAAAAGTAATCGCTGAATACGAAACGAGAGTTAGTAGTGCGAGATCGGAAGTAAACTTAAAAAACAAAGAAGTAGAAAAATCCACGAATGAAGCAAGTGTTGTAGGAGAACGTTTACCAGAATTACGACAAGTACCTACCATTACAAAAGAGGTAACAGAAATCAAACACAAAATCTCCAGAATCGAAACCGACCCTGAAAATATCGACCTAGTCGTCGATAAATATACAGAGTTAACCGAAAAGTTCAGAAAATCTTGTGACATAATGACCAGTCTCCAAGCCGACATAAACGAACTTTCCTTAGCTTTAGAAAGAAGAAACAAGCATTATAAACTAACGGAAAACTATTTCGTACAGTACATGAGGTATTCTTTCAGAAAAATTTTGGAATACGGACATTTTAAGGGAAATCTGGATATAAACATTGCGGATAAGAAGTTGGATTTAATAGTAATTCCTCAACACGGATCTCAAGGACATACTACAACATCGAATCTGTCGGGCGGCGAGAGGTCGTTTTCGACGGTGGCGTTTTTGTATTCCCTTTGGCAGTGCATGGAATTGCCGTTCTATTTCCTGGACGAATTTGATGTTTATATGGATAAATTAACTCGTACTAAGGTGGTCGATATTTTACTTCACCATGCTGCTTCTAAACCGCAACTGTTGTTTGTGTTTTTGACGCCTCAAGACGTTTCTTTCATTAATCAAGATGTGGCTATTTTGAGGTTAGAGGATCCGCACAATTTTAATGTATAAAAATTTATTGAAAGACATTTTTTAGTATTTAATAGAATAAGTTTTGTTCGTATTTCTTACTTATTAATTTTAGAAAAGTAATATATATTTTTTTTTTGAAACAGAGTCTAATTTTGTACAACAATATGAATTACTTTGAAATATATATTTGTTAAATGATGTAGTGAAGAATTTTTGTTTATCAATTAATTCCAATCCTCAATATCTTCATCGGTAATAAATGAAGATTGCGCGCCGCTATCTAATAAAGCTTTACACATTTTTTATTGGACTAAAAGAAAAACTATTTTTTGTATTTCTTTTAAATTCGATTAATCGGCTATTAGATTTTTTTAATTAATCGATTAGTCTCAATCGAATACAATAATTATCTTTGAAAAACGGAAAGTGATCGATTAAAAAAACACAAATAATCTATTAATAATCTAATCAAATAAGAGTAGTAGGTATGTTTAAGTAGTTTATATAGAGAAATAATTTAAAAAATTGTACACAAACCTTTCTTCTAACTTTGTTTTAACAAAATTTCTATTAAAAACCATCTAACTGAAGCAAAAATTCCTATTCCTACAATTTTCCCACATTTCTCAACAAATTTCCCACATTTTTTCACTATTTTTCTCCAAATGTTCCCCACAATGTTCCTCAAAATTCCCACTATTTTGCCCAATTTCCCCCTATTCCCCACATTTTTTCATACATTTTCCCCAAAATGCACAACCATTTTTATCCATAATTGTTCCCAGATTCTCCTATTTATACATTTCATAGAAGTTTTTCCACATTTCCCCACAATTTTCCCTTCCTTTTTCCCAATTTCCCACATATATCCCAAAATTCCCACCAATTTTCCAGTTTCTCACTATTTTTTCTCCAAATTCCCCTCATAATTTTCTCCTGCCTTACCACAATTTTTCCACATTTTCCCACAATTTTACCCAAAATTCCCAACCATTTTTTTCAAAATTCTCAAAATTGTTCATACATTTCGTAACAGTTTTCCCACATGTCCCCACAATTTATTCTTAATTGCCCCTAGCTCCCACAGAATTCCCCAAAAAAGTTTTTTTCAATTTCCCCGTCTTATTTCACATTTCCCAACAATTCCTTCGCTTCATTCATCAACCCTCTCCTCAATTCTTTAAATATTTCCCCATCCTCTTCCAAAAAAGGCAGAATATTGTAATTTTGGGGAGATGAAAGTGAAAAATCAGGGCGTTTGAGCGAATTTGGGTTAATTTAAAAAAAAGTAACTTATTGCAAAAATTCCTGCTATTTCCCAGAAATTTCCCCAAATTCACCATTTCTCTACAATTTTTCCCCAAATTGCCTTCATAATTTTCCCTTAAGTCCCCATACAATTTTTTCATATTTTCCCACAATTTTAACCAAAATTTCCAACCATTACCCAAATTTTCCCACAATTTTTCAAACATATTTTTCCCATAATTGTCAACCATTTTTTCCACAATTTTCCTTAACTTCCCCCTATTCTCCACAATTTTTTCATACATTTCCTCACAATTTTCCCTTAATGTCCCTATTTCTCACAGAATTTCTCTCAAAATTCCCAATTTCCCAACAACCATGGAGGAAGGATAATATATTGTCATGAAGTTCTTGAGCCGACCCTGTCTAAAGCAAGCGACCTTCAGCTTGGCACCCGACCATGGAGGTAGAAGGTAGGGAGACGCTGTCACGTGGTCTAAGACGGGTTCACTTCCGCCATATTGGATTGACAAATCCATCAAACAGGTAATTTTGATTTTAATCGACGTTTATTTTATTTTATTTTTATGTCGTTTGCTAACAAACATATTACACAAATACACAAAAGTTAAACAATGGTCTCTTGTGCTCAACGTAGTTGTAGTAACAGAACTGATGTTAATAAGAAGAAATTATCGGGAATAACTTTCCACAAGTAAGTATACAACACAGTAAACAATGTGCAGGGCGGTATTTGGGAAATTGAAATATTAATTATTGTACTTTTTTTTTGGAATTTCGTTCAATCTGATTTTTGGTATAGATTTCCTAAAAATTCAGAAAGGCGGAGACAATGGATTAAATTTGTGAATAGAGAAAATTGGGTACCTACACGATACAGTGCTCTGTGTTCAAGACATTTCGCAGAATTATGCTTTGATCGAACTTCCCAGTATTTAGTCCGTTTAAGACCGATTCCACCGTTGTGTTAAACGAAGTTTAAAATGACATTTTTACATTAACAATGTTATTTTAATCTCCGTTTAAAAAAATGGTGGAATCGACCCTAATTCAATAAGTTTATTTTTAACAGGTGTTAAATTTTATTATTTTAACATAAATTAATTGTGTCTGTAAAAATTAAAATTTACGCATGCGTAAAATTTTCAACAAAATAAACACGTTAAAAGTAGTTCAAATGTACAATAAAAGTATGGTTAAATTTTAAGGTATGTCGAATGAATGTTACTTCTTTTGTCATATTTTCTTGTATCTGTGTCTGTTTATTCACAAAAATATTTAAAAAAGTAGCGGCCTAATCTACATAAACTATTTTGTAGGCAACACATTTTTCATAAATAACCCATGACTAACCAGTAACCTTCTAAGAGTGCAGATTCTGTGAGGAGGACGAAACCTCCATTCACATTTTAACTGAATGTGTAGCACTCCAGAATCCAAGGGCACTATATCTAGGAGGATATCAAATAGAAGAGGGAGATTTACCTAACTTGAAGCCACTTCAAATCCTACACTTCCCTGAGAAAATAGGATTGGAAGGGTCGCTATAGGCATTGAGACATTTCCTTAGTGCAGTGGCGACAAAAGGGGGCACAATAGATCTTTTAGGTCGCAGTGTATTAACACCCCATTCTCAACATAACATAATAGTGGCTTTTAATGACATCAATTACTAACTACAAAAAGTTTATACAGGCTGTAAATAAAATGTTTTTTTTAAAGAGAGTTTGGGAAATTTTAACGGTTCAAATAACAAATGTGGTTCAAATTGCATATAAGTCATAATTTTTAATATAAAGTTTTAAAGCCTACTAATAAGTACCCGTTAATTTCCAAAATTTAACTCATAAAATTAACACATTTATGAAATTTTTAACATATTTCTGCTTTATAGAATAGAAGGAATTAATATATGTTAATTATGATGACAAATTAATATTTAACATGAATTTATAGAATTGCTTTCCATATTTATATTTTTAACGTCCATTAAATTTTAAGATATTCGTTATAGAGTTACCACTATAGTCTATTAATGACCGATTTCACCGTTGTGTTAAACGAAGTTTAAAATGACATTTTACATTAACAATGTCATTTTAATCTCCGTTTAACACAACGGTGGAATCGGCCCTCAGATAATTAATAATTTAAAAAATAAATGACAGATAATTTATAACTTACAATTCTTTAAAAAAGCAAATTAGGGTTTGAGTTGCATTACCAATAGTCCGGCCCTGGCAGAACGGCCATATTGGAATGACTGTCACCACGACTAGTGATACCGTTTTGAATGTTTGAAAGAGATGCTCATAGCGTCTCCCCTCTTACCTATGCGTCTCCCTACCTTCTACCTCCATGCACCCTACTCATGCTCGAAACGACGGAATCTTCTGGTATGCCGCTGACGCTCGAGAAACGGCTAGAACGGGCGGAGCGTGCCAATGGCTGCGTTCATCCGCGCCACATGCTACCTGATCGATCTGGTAGCGCTCTCGAGTGGCACGTATGAACGGTGTATTTTGACATTTCGCTCAAGGAGCGGCCGCCATTAAAAGTAGCGCATTTTATTTACGTCTGATCGGTGATCACTGATCTGTCTTACGCACTTACGTCCACGGTTTGCTTGGTGACTAGTAGGGTTATATTAGCAATTGAAAAATAAACAAACAAATCTTCAACCAGAGACATTCAACTCAAAAGTAAAATGAATAAACCAAAATCAAATGTCACTTTTAAACATGGTTCATCCGTGCATAAAGATCGATCAGGTAGCGTAAGTGATCGCTACTTTTGTAGCGCTCCTTGAAATGGCGCGGATGAACGCAGCCATTGAGTCAGAAATGGAATTTTCTGGAGCGTCTAGAAACTTCTCATAGCAGAGTTGCACTTAGTATAAATTGTCCGACTTATGCGGACAGTTTAGTATAAAGTATTGGACTGAAAAGTTAAATTGTAATAAATAAATTATAATTGTAAGTATTATATAAATAGTACGTCATAAATAAATTGTAAATAGTGTTTAAATAAGTAAACTATAAATAAATTAGACCATCGTTACAATATTTAATATATTTTCCAATATAAAAGTGATTAGTTTAATTTTTGTTTAGATTTCAAATTTAAGTTGATTTGTCGTCTCAAAAGTCAAATTTAAAAAGTATAAACTTGTCATTTTATCACAGAACTGAAATTAGGAGAATGGATTTGACAGTTTACAGAGGAAGTATCACAACTTGAATCGCGAATAGACAACGCTGAAATTGTACTAATGTGACGTCACTGCTTCACCACTTCGGGTAGGAAATATACTATTCGGCTATCCTTTAGTTTAGTATCGAGTCATTGATCTCTACTATCGTGTTCCGTGTTTTTTTAAAGGTTAAATTTTGACAGATTTGATTGATTGTTCCGTGTATATGTATTGTTTATTTATGTTTTAGTGTTTATTCAGTTTATTGCTTGCATTTTTTTTATTTCACATATAGTGTTCAGACAAAACTCTCATTTTTCATTATCATCGCCATAAAAAATTAATTCAGGACTTGTCATTGTGGTTGTTTAAACGTTGGTATAATATATGATCAGCTGTTGCCTGTTGCATAGATAAATATCAGGATGGACGTGAAACGAGAACAAGAGTCTGAAATTGAAGAACATCATTCGGATTTGCTAAAAATTGATATTAAAGAAGAACGTTATGTTCCTGTGGTTAAAGAGATGGAATCGTACATGGGAATCAGTGATGTCAAGAAAGAATCTTGTAAATTTCTGCAGCCTAAAACTGAGAGTGAACTTTTTTCTTTGACTACAGATTGTGATTTACCGACTTTGAAAGATGAAAGCACTGAGGATAAAGAGACGGATTTGTACATTGGCGTCAGTGA